ATATCTCTTTTGTATAGCCTCTCTTCTCTTTATGAAAATTTATTACTGGGGTGGTAAAGCGCAAAGTATCGAAACAGGACTCTGCCAGTAAAAGCGTGAAATTTACAGTATTCGAGGAAGGAATAATATTTTTATAGTATTTTTGGAGAAATTTTGTGAATTTTTGTTTTCCAAATAATAAATGCGAACGATCCTTTACAGGGTCAAAGGAAAAAGTTTCTGGAACTCACATATTCTTTACTAGCAAATTTTATTACTATCGTAATTTATAGCAGTAAGATTTCATCATTCCCAAATATATCAGCAATGTCAAATATATAAATATTTTGTTTGACCTTTTTTTTTGGTATTATAACAAAATACATAAACATAGTTAGATATCAAATAATGATAGAGCGTCAATGTAACACTATATTCTCGCGATACACTATGCTCGCTAATATTATAGTTTTCCTATTCTTTTATAATTATTCTGATTTTTATAGATGCATATACATAAATTCGTTCAACTCTTTCAATTTCTTGCTAGTTATTTATTTAAATTAAAATTACGACTGATTTTATTGATCAGAAATCGGACATCAGAATATATATGTACATATATATAGGTCCCGGCGTATAAACTTAAAGAGCCACATGCGCCGGGTGTCGATCCTGTCCTTACACGCTCTCGAGCCGCCGCTGTGCGCTGAATAGCGGCGCATCCACGACGGATGAAAGAGATGGGGCCGCGACCAAACCGGGAGGGTTCGTCGCCACGCTCGTTCGCCTCTCTTCCTATGAACAGGGGGCAGCTGTCTCCCGTTTGTTTCCACGCGCGCGAGCGCAAGATGACCGCCGGCGTCGCCGACGACACCGGGGTCACCTAGCCCCGAGAGCATTTCTGTACACTGTGCGAATCTCCGATAAAGAACATCCAGCATGCGGAAAATTTTTTAATTGACTTATTAACGATTAACTCATTTTTGAACAAGAAATTTATTGCGATTGATATGATTTTAATGTAATAAATAAACTTATCTTTTAAATTTTATTTTTAAATCTTTTTAAATTCAACATCAAATCTCGAAACATTAAATTAACTAATTATTCTAGCATTAATTTAAGATCTTTAGTACACCCGGAGAGAAAGAGAGAGAGAATTGTATACAATAATATGTCAGAAATATTAAAATATCTAAGATATATATCGAATAAGAGTAAAATACTCGTATATATTATTTTTCGCTATATGTATGTAACTCTTTTTCAGATAACCATTATGTATACTTTAGAAAATTTTCTTATATATATAATATATCAGCAATGTCAAATATATAAATATTTTGTTTGACCTTTTTTTTTGGTATTATAACAAAATACATAAACATAGTTAGATATCAAATAATGATAGAGCGTCAATGTAACACTATATTCTCGCGATACACTATGCTCGCTAATATTATAGTTTTCCTATTCTTTTATAATTATTCTGATTTTTATAGATGCATATACATAAATTCGTTCAACTCTTTTAATTTCTTGCTAGTTATTTATTTAAATTAAAATTACGACTGATTTTATTGATCAGAAATCGGACATCAGAATATATATGTACATATATATAGGTCCCGGCGTATAAACTTAAAGAGCCACATGCGCCGGGTGTCGATCCTGTCCTTACACGCTCTCGAGCCGCCGCTGTGCGCTGAATAGCGGCGCATCCACGACGGATGAAAGAGATGGGGCCGCGACCAAACCGGGAGGGTTCGTCGCCACGCTCGTTCGCCTCTGTTCCTATGAACAGGGGGCAGCTGTCTCCCGTTTGTTTCCACGCGCGCGAGCGCAAGATGACCGCCGGCGTCGCCGACGACACCGGGGTCACCTAGCCCCGAGAGCATTTCTGTACACTGTGCGAATCTCCGATAAAGAACATCCAGCATGCGGAAAATTTTTTAATTGACTTATTAACGATTAACTCATTTTTGAACAAGAAATTTATTGCGATTGATATGATTTTAATGTAATAAATAAACTTATCTT